TGAATACGTTATTAAAGGTGGATATGAAGATTATTTGTTCATGAAAAACCATGCCTTGATAGGGACTTACGGGAAAAAGCACAAGCATATGTGTGATGCATAAAATTTAAGTAACAACAATACATCCTTCTTATAAAATGAGATGAATAGTGAGAAGATCAAGCAGAACTAGAGCTCCACCATTCAGGCTAAATGACTATGAGAGATTTTTTAATCAAGCAATCAGGGAGAATGGTGAGTTAACTGAAGAAGCAATGATTATTGAGTTAGAACTAATTAATCTTGTGCAAGCCCTGCATGATGAAATTGGAAAGCTGTAATAGTTGCGGAACTCAAGGCCATTGAGAAAAACCAGACATGAGAGTTGGTTGAGAACTTAGGCAAGAAAGCAATTGATGTAAGATGGGTTTACAAGCTGAAGTACAAAGCAAGATTGGTAGACTTTCTCTAAAAACCTAGAGTAGATTTCGATGAAGTATATACACTTTTGGTCAAGTTTGAAACTATACGTTTGGTTGTGTCAAAGGCTTGTACAATTATCAGATATCTTGACAAACCCCTAAAGTAAGAAAAGTTTGAAGGTTTGAAGAAGTTAATGAGAATGAGAAGCATGTCAAATATGAATTAGGAAGTTATGGTTGATTCAGATTAAGAATACACCCGGAGGGTATATCATATAATCGGGTGAGTATATCAGTTTTAGTTAGACAAAATGTTTTAAGGATATACCGGTAGGTATATCATATAATCAAGTGGATATATTCAACTGTTTTTAGACCGTTTATTTTAAATTTGATTTGGGTGGCTAATGTGTCTATAAATATCATCTCTCATTGTAATCAAAACATATACAATATTTATAAAAAATTTTCCTTCAACCACTTTTTAATTTTTTCTCGATTTATCATTATTTATCAAGTAACTTGTGATAAAGATGGCCTAACAATACTTTCGATGCAACTTTCTTCCTAAAAGGGATGTATATGATTAAGGGCATGTAACACTGTAGTAACTAGTTTGATTTATCATTATCTGTCAAAGCCCAAGTCCTCATTAGTTTGTGGAATATGACTCACATTAAAAGGAAGAAGTTAAGTGTAGGTGTTAAATATAAACAAGTTAAAAAAAATATTTGATGGATTCCTCATGCACGATAGTATCATCATTACATCAACCAATACTAGATTCATGCCATGAATCCTGCTTCTCTTTCCATTGATAACAGTTGGAGCGTGAATTTTTTTCCTTTATTTTTTCACTAAATTGGATCCATTTCCCTTAATTTTTGATACCAGCATATTTCTTCTTGATGAAATACTTGGTCAATATCTTAATGTAATTGTTGCTCCAAAAGTACAAGTATAGTCGAGTACATTCTATTAAAGTTTTTTTAACACCTTTAAGCATATTCTTAGTATGTCTCTCCATTTTAAAAATGTTTTCAAATATATCTTTGGTTCAAGGACGACACTAAAAACCTTTTTAATGTAGACCAATCATTCTTAACCACTTGCTCGTGATCAACGTGGGTGATTCAAGCTACTTCAAATTTAAAAGGTCCACGTTCTCTAGAAATAGGAAGACCTCCACACATCAAAGTCTTCGTGTATTAAAAATCATATTTACTTATTTTTACAAGTGACACTAACAATGAGGCAAAGGAGTTAAATTTACAATTGAACATCATGAATTGCAAATGGAACATCGAGAAGTTTTCTAAAGACAACGACTTCAGATTATGGAAGGTGAAGATGCAAGAAATCCAAATTCAAAAAATGTTTTTAGAAGCATTGAAAGGAAAAGAATTGATGAATGCAATCCTAACACAAGCTAAGAAGACCAAGATGGTGAATAAGACCAGAAGTGACATTATCTTTTGCCTTGAAAATAAAGTATTAAGAGAAGTCATCAAAGAGAAGATTATGGTTGAGATGTGGGGAAAGATTGAATCATTATATATTACCAAGTCATAAGCTCATTGATTGTATCTAAAACAACAACTTTATTTTTTTATGTATTTGAAGGTTGACGATAGTGAGAGTTGAGGAAACTAGAAGGAGGAGATATCAAGGTCAAAGTCAAAGCCCAAGACCAATTTTTTTGGTAAGACAAAATTTAAATGTTTCACTTGTCACAAAACCGGCCACTTAAAAAAGGATTGTCTCGAAAGAGAGAACAAGGGTGATTATGTTCATATTTTGATTGCCTCAGACAAAGATGGTTATGTAAGTGTTGACGCACTAGTTGTAGCAAGTTTGGAAATAGAGAAGAATTGGATTATAGAACAAGGTTGCTTTTATCACATGTGTCAAAGTAAAGAATATTTTGAAACTTTAGAGCTGAAAGAAGGTGAACTCATTTGACTAAAAAACAATAAGGCTCGCAAAGTTCATGGTATTAGTACAATCAAACGTAAAATGTTTGATGATTGTGAGTTCCTTCTACACAAATCTGAGGTATGTTCTCGAACTTAAGCAAAAACAATGTCTATAAGAATGTTTGATGATCTAGACTCCTGCACTAGAATAGAACATGGAGTGTTGAAAATTTTGCCTGATGCATAAATAATGGCTAAAGTGTCCAAAATGGGTGAGATATATATTTTGAATGGTTCACTATTATTGGTCATGCATCAATAGCTAGTTAAGTTAAGGATGACAAAAAAACTCGTAGATAAATGTGTCACAAGTACGGGGCGAGTAGTTTAATGAATATCCGCAAATAAATTAAATGGATATTTAAATACCTGTTTTTAATGGATAAGGATGTAGGTTTAATGATACACATTCCTGTGAATACCTTTATCTGTTAAAAAGTGAATACCTTTATCTGTTAAAAAATTATAAAAATGATTTAAATATCATTATTATATTATACTATGTATTTTCATCTTAAAAAAAATAGTTTTCTCATATTTCTCATCTTTTTTTAAAAGTTTTTTCTTTTGAAGAAAATCTTTCACATTCCATGAAAATCCTATTTGGCCATGTCATATTTAAGTTTCTTCTATACTCTAGACCTCACTTCAACAATTTCACCGTCCAACCAACTAGTACACCCTTCCTCCGTCCAACTAGTCTCTCCCTTCTTACACCTCTATTGCCTGCTCTTCCATCATAATTCAAAATCACAGCATCTTTCATTTGTTTTGGTTAAAATGAAATGATATTATGTTTGGGTTTTATTATGCTTTGGTGAAAAAGAAGAAAATTAATGTGATGAAAATTTGTTGTCAAATTGAGTGGGAATTGTATGGATCTTATGTGATAAAAAAGTTTGTCTTTAAAATAAGAAAAAAATATATTTTTAAAATTTTATAAATAAAATATTATCCATAGATATCTATAAATATATGCTGGCACCTTAAAACCCGCGGATAACCCGCTTAGCGAATACCCTCATGAATATCATATTTATCCAACTGGACAGACACGAATATCATATTATCTGCCTCCATGGATATCTATTTACATCCTTAGTTAAAAATTCATTGATAAACTAAGTTGTGACATTTAAATTAGATCATAACATAAAGCTTTCAATTAAGAAATATCCTTGAATCAAGGAAAATAAGAAGATAATGGAGAGTACTCCATATGTAAGTGGGGTTCAAAGCATTTTGTATGGTATGGTTTGTAGTGGACTGGATTTAGCATATGCAGTCAACATAGTAAACTAGTTTATGGGAAGTCTTGGCCAAATTCATTTGGAAGCTTTGAAATTAGTATTGAGGTATTTGAATGATTCTCTAAAGGGTGGTTTAAAGTACACAAGTTCAACTCAAGATAAAAACGCTTTAGAGAATTTGATAGATTCAGACTATGCAGTTAATGTAGACAGTATAAAAATCCTATCAAATTTTGTGTTTGTGTTACTTGGGATAGTGATAAGGTAAAAGGAAAATTAAAAATTAGTGGTAGCATTATTTACTACTCAAGCATAATATATTTTCTGTGTTAAAGAGGTCAAGGAAGCCATATGGTTGAAAGACATGATTGACGAGTTATGGATTACTCAAGAATGTGTGAAGATAAATTGTGATAGTCAAACTATAATTCACTTGGTCAATCATTAACTTTATCATTAGAGGACAATACACATCATAAGGGAGATGATAGGGTAAAAAAAGATTCAAGATCACAAAGTGCCCTTAGAGAATAATTCAACAAATATGCTCACCTAATTGTTGCCAAGATCAAGATTCAAGCTTTGGAGATAACAACAAGTGGCTGGTAGTTAAATTTACATCATCGTTGATTTAAAGTCAATGTGAAAAATTATTGTAATATGCCTTAAAACCTCAGTAAAAAAAAAAAGAAAAATACATATTTCGACATTGTCAAATTTTCGAACTTGTTTGCGGATCCGTTCTTTAATGGGGTATATCTTGGATCCATTAAGATTTTGACAATTAAAAATATGATTTTCTCTCATTTGTTAAAACACAAGTTAGAGAAAGTGCATATGATAGAATAGAATCCTTGTGAGAAACAAAAGGTAGAAATTTCTAAGAATATATTCTTAGAGTTTGACAAACTTTAGAGATTATCAACAAAATTTGAAAAACACTTTAAACACTTTTGTTTTGTGTGATTTTTATATTAAGAGTTGGTGAGATTGAGAAACACTTATGTAAAAAATAGTGTTTAGTTTGAGAACTCCAAAGGATATTTTCTTGTAACTATTGAGAACAATAAAGTCAAGTGTGAATTAGAGTTTTATATTAGTTATAAATGTGGAGAATTCACACACGTACGAGCTTAAAATTTTAAGTGGATATGTGGTATCTCTCTCACTTGTGTGTTGCTTCTATCCCAATATTAATACTCTTTCTCATGATCCAACAAATAGTATTAGAGTCTTAAATTCGACTTACTTGTTTGAATAAATGTGAAGACACTTTTACACGTGTGTTTCTTTTATTTTTAATTTCAACAATTTATTTATTAATACTTAAATATAAATAAATATTACAGTCAAAAATTAAACTATGAGCAACCTTAGAACTCAAACAATTCCATCCTTAATTCTTTAATTCTCACCTCTAGCCTCTTTTTTTCCTCCTCAAGTTTATTCATTTTGCTCATTTTCATCACATACTTCAAAACAAACTCCACTTGAGGTGCAAGCCATGACAAGTCAAATCCAAATACTTGAACTTCTTCCCACAATTTTTGAAGCCATTCACTTTCTTCTTCATTCATTTCCTCCACCTTTGTGATCTCAAGGAAATGCAAAACCCTTCCAAGTGATGTAAAAGCCCAACTCGCATACATTGGAGTCCTTTTCCTTTGGCACTCTATTAAACAAGGATGAATATTACAAACTTTTTCTAACAAAGGAATATAATCAATGTCAAGGTTAGATAACACAGTAGCTTTGAATATTCCAATAGTGGCAGAATCTGGAATTGGTGGAGCAGAGGGTTGAGTAGAAAGAAACATAGAATTTTCCATTTGATTAGGAAGCTTCTCATAACTCATATAATCAAAAGGGTCATTGTGATTTTGATGCTTGGAATCAAAATCATCGGATAAAAATTTCACTTGGTTTTTCGATCTCTTCAACTTTAAAAAAGATAATATATCTTTGTAAGCACTTTTTAAAACAGTTCCTCCTCTACATTTCTGTCTAGGTTCTAATGAGAAAAAATCACTTATGGAAAGCATCACCTTCTGCACTATCAAGAAAAAAATTATATAACAACAAAATTAGTATTAATGTATTATCATATAAGAATTAATATACTAAAATTTACCTGTAAAATAAATAAAAAGATAGCATATGTTATGGTACCTCTAGAATATCTTGTTCGTTGATGGACATATTTATGATCAATTTGTTGATTGCTGTTAGCAGAGAGAAAGTGAGGAGAATTTAATTATCTTGGATCTATCATTTTTTATAGCTCTAATTGATTATATTAATGTGAAGGTTGATTTTCACTACAAGAAAATGTGTATTTTCCCTAGTGATTTAGTGACGTGGGAAACATGTAGGAAAAAAAAATGTGTTGCCAAGTGATTCCCACGTCACTAACATATTAAATTAATAAATTGTGTAGTTCAAAAATCTGGAACGAAAATTTGGAAATTGAAGGGGGAGGGAAGTTTGAAATTTTTAAAAATTCAGTTGTGACATGAAAATCACATGGGAAGAAAAAGTCAGAAACTACCCACATGTATTTCACTTCGCAACACACTCACATTAATTATTTCAGACCGTTGCTTTGGCTTTTAGTGGGCAACGGTAATAATAAAATAAAGGGTGAATTTTTCTGACTTGTTTGCCACGTCGCAAATTTCCCAAGGGGAATTCACGTCGCAACTCTGAAAAGTTATTTGTCATTAATTGAAGCAACGTTCTAGAGGAGTATTACCGACCATGAATTCACGTCGCAAATACCGTCCTTGAAATCACGTCGCAAACTTCCCAAGTGGGATCCACGTCGCAAACTTCCCAAGTGGGATCCACGTCGCAACCTCCCTTATAAATACAAATCCCAGAATTTTGTCTTGGCACTTCGTATGCAAATCCCAGAAGCTTCTTCTTCCCCTTTCTTCCTTCATACTGCTTGCTTATTCCTTTTCCTTATGCTTGCTGCCTCCAAACCCAACTCCATTTTTATTTCATAAGACCAAAATTTTAAGGTGAAATATTTGTTGATTTTGTGACTCTTTTATGTTTCCTTTTATTTTATATATTTGTTATTATTAACTGTTAATTTTTTTTTTTCAGATCTAACATTGATTTTTAAGAAATCTCATTGGAAGAGTTTTAAAAGCTTGCAAAGAGGTATTTCAGCAATTAAATTTGTTTATATTTATTGTTGTTGTTGTTAATATTATTTTAGATTTTAGGTTAGAAAATTTTAGGTTAGAAAATTTTAGATTTTAGATTTTAGGTTAGAAATATTGTGATAATGTATTGTATATTGTGTTTGTTGTTGTTTTAAATTTGAGAAAGCAAAAATAAAAATAATATATTATTTGATTTTTAATTTAAAAAATAGATTATTTATTTGAAACAAATTAAAAAAACAGATTTAATTTAGTAAACATAATATATATTATGTTGTGTTATGTATATATATTTTTAAACAGATTTTTAATTAAATAATATGTTGTGTGATTTTTAGTAAATCAATTATACCTATTATAGAATAATATATATTATTAAATAGTTAATATAATTTAGTAAACATATAATATATATTATTTTAATAAAACAGTTTTTAAAAATAATAAAACAGTTTTTTAAATAATAATAAATTATTAATTTAATGAATATAATAAATTATTTTAGTAATAAAACAGTTATTATTTTAGTAAACATAATAAATTATTAATTTAATGAATATAATAAAACAGTTTTTTTAATATATAGTGAATATATATTATGAATATAAAAATAATGAATATATATTATTTTAAAATATATTATAATGAATATATATTATTAAAAAAATAATGAATATAAAAATATTGAATATATATATATTATACTTTGAAAAAAAAAGAATATATATTATACTTTAAATATGTTATTATATTAGTATAATATATTATTTTAGTGAATTTATATTATACTTTAAAAATAATGAATTTAAAACAGTTTTTTTAATAATAAAACAGTTTTTTAATATATATTATTTTAGTAAACACAATATATTATTAAATTATTAAATTATAATATATTAATAAAACAGTTTTTTAAATAATAAAACAGTTTTTTAATATATATTTATTTTAGTAAACATAATATATTATTAAATTAAGCTTCATCATTTTAAAGTTTTTAAAGTATTATTATATATTTATAACTATTTTTTAAAGTTTTTTTTTGTATTATTATATATTTAATTAAGCTTCATCATTTTAATTAGAAAAAGGACTTGGGGAGGGAGCCACGAATTAATGAGCTATTTGTGAAGACTCGAACCAAAAAATCGGGCGACTTTGTTGACGGTCGTTCCAAATCAACCTTGGTAACTTGTTTATTTTAGTTGAATTCTTTTAATTTCATAATTACTATATAATTAAATTGTTTAAATTATATTTAATTTAATTTTTTTTAATGTGTGTGTAGGAGTTGTACCAGACATTGCTTGCCCAATTTCTAACTGAAAATCCTCAATATACGCCGATTGGGGATGCACCGCTTGATCCACGTGTTGATCTTTATATTTGGAATTTAACAGTAGGCGGGAAGAGAGTTAATGGATGTTTTTTTGGTCTGGGGTCTTTGGCTGGTGATTATAGAAAAGGGGACCGAACTTTATTTCAGAGACTCGATGACGGGGAAGGAGGATCGCGTCCGGCAGAATTAACACCAGAAATGTTGGCAACAGTGAGACAGTTAGCTCTAGCTGAGGCGAGACGAGAGGCAGAGACACGTGAGGCGGCCCTAAAGGCCGAAATGGATGATATGAGAAACAGACAAAATGCTGAAATAGAGGAAATGAGGAAGCGACAATCAGACATGGAGGCACAAATGCGAAAATATTTTGCCTCGAGATCGAATTATTCTCCCAGAGATGATGACCAAAACGAAGATGAATCATTTAGTGACGAAGAATAATTTTTTTTATTATTATTTTTATTTGTGACGTGAATACTATGTCACAACTTTTATTATTATTATTTGTATTTGTGACGTGAATTTCATGTAACTAAATATTTATATATTTTAAATGTATATTATTTTAATTAAAAATTATTTTAATTTAAAATTTATATTTAAAATTTAAAATTTATTTTAATTTTATAGAAGCTTTCAGTTAATATTAATTTTTTTTTTTATAATTAATTTAAATAGTGAAGTGGATCCCATGTCACTAATTAGTGACGTGGGAATCACATGGGAAGAATATTAATTCAATATGGTTTCCCACGTGAAAACTAGGTCACAACTTTGTGAAGTGGATATCACGTGGGTAATAAAATATAATTGTGTCAGCCAGCGTGCAGAGAAAATTGGTAAAGTAATGTTCCCACATGGTTTTCACGTCACTAATTAGTGACTTGGTTTTCACGTGGGAACATTTCCTCTTTCTTTTGTGGTTTGCGACGTGGTAACCATGTGACAACTTTGTGACGTGTTTACCACGTGGGAAAAAGTTCCCACCTTTGCATTTCTGACGTGTTTTACCCACGTCGCAAATTTTTTTAGTGAAGTGGTTTTTATGTTAGTGACGTGAATATCACTTGGGAAACTGCAGGATTTCTTGTAGTGTTTATTCTTCTCAGTTGGTGGTGACTAACATTGTCTGATACGTGAAAGAATGAGCAAAATGTTAGCTGTGGATTATACTTTATAGTGGTTGTGTGTCCAAATGAAAATGCTAACAATTCATAGCAAATTTGATGGTTGTTTAATTGTCATTAATTAATGATCTATTTTGAAGTAGACCCCAACCAACTCCCATCTTGTAGTTTGTAGAAGTATGAACTAGATACACTTCTTTGTTGTCTATGTGAAATTTAGCCTTTTTCAAACCCATATTTCAGTCCATATTAAAATATATGACCGTTAGTTTCTGTTATAATGAATTTGAATTTCATGTAGTTTGTTAGTTAGTTATTTGGGTCTCAACTAACTCTAGTTATATATATCTCTTATCCATTGAATGAAATACTAAGTCCTATATTCTGTTTTATGTGTCATTATGCATATTATATTTTGTTATCAGTAAGATGAAAAATTAGAAGATTCTTTTTTGTCTACCTTTTCTCTATCTCCACCTTTGAGCTTCAACAGTGGAGCTCGATCCTAATGACATATCTGTCACATAAAATAACAATAACAATAAGAAAATAAACAATAACTTCATAAAGAATCTGGCCCTTGATAAATCCAATCCCTACTACCTTCATCTTGCATAAAATTCTGGTGCAATTCTTGTTTCTCTGCCATTATCGGAGAACAATTATGAGTCTTAGAGCCGTTCGGTGAAACGAGCTCTCTTTAGCAAGAACAATATCAAGTTTATCAATGACAAACTCCTTGTTCCTAAGGAAGATAATCGTCTCTTTGATGCGAGGGAAAGATGCAACAACATCATCCTTGCTTGAATCTCTGCAACCATTTCTCAAGACATTGCCCAAAGCAAGACTTACGTTGAGAGCGTTGTACAACTATGGATCGATCTGCTAAACATGTTCGCCAAGAGCGATCACTTTTGCTTGTCAGATCTTCTACAACACATTCATTCCAAAAGGTAAGATGCAAGCCGATTACTGCTTTCTTTAATGAATTAAAAACTGTGGGAAGATTTGGAAACTCTTGGGGTTCTTCCAAATTGCACTTATGGAGCAAATGCACCCATAAAAAAGCAATGTGACATAGAGTATGCGATTTGTTTCTTAAAAGATTTGAATGATGAATTCAACCATGTCAAATCGGATATACTAATTCTTGAACCTCTCCCTAATGTCACCAAAGTTTTCTCATCCATCTGATAGTAAGAAAGACAACTATTATATTTATTTCCTTTGAATCTTCCAAGATTCTCATGACCAAAACCAACTCATCTTTAGCTAATGGCCGCTTCCTTCAAAAACAAGGCAAAAGTCGAGGTAAATCAAATTTTCAATGCAAATCATCATCCAACTGCAAAGTTTGATCTTTCTGTGCTACTTCAAACATGGATTTTCCCCGGGCTTCAAGTTCAAAGATAATGTTAGCTCATCCAACAATGTTGATACAATTGATAAGACTCAATTTCCACTTACAAATCATGTTGATAAATCTCCCAACAAAGTGGACATCACTCCTGATATGTATAACAAACATATAACCTTGATCAACAAAATTGAATTTGCATC